TGCCTATCCATGAGCATGGTATGTTTTTCCATTTATGTAGATCCCTTTGGGTTTCATGCAGTAGTGTTTTGTAGTTTTCTTTGTATAGATCTTTTACATCCCTGGTCAGATTTATTCCTAGGTATTTTATCTTTTTAGGGGCTATTGAAAATGGTAACAGGCGTCTATTTTTGTGTTTTTGAATTTATATTTATATATAGTACATGAAATTCACCGTTTAGTCAAATCCTCCTTAGCAAATGAGTTTTTCCACATAAGTGAATTTTTCAGCCAAGTGCAACTTGCTCCTTCAAGCACCAAAACATTTTTAATTAAACCCATTTTGGATGGAAATATTCCTAAAATGAGACAATCCCTTTAAAGTATTTAAGCATAGACCCTGGCACATAGCACTCAATAAATATTAATTATTATTGTTTTATTAATAAAATATATTGGCATTTTCTTCCCTGCCTTAGGAATCAGAGTAAATAGAGTATAATTTAGCTTTTCTTGATGACCAGAGATCATCACAAACATTAATTATTTTAATTGAGCAATGAGTACGGAAATGTCTTGAGATTTACTGGGGACTTTGGGTTATTGAAGGAACCCTGGTGGCACAGTGGTTGAGAGCTCAGGCTGCTAACCAGAAGGCTGGCAGTTCAAATCCACCAGGTGTTCCTTGGAAATCCTGTGGGGCATTTCTACTCTGTCTTGTAGATGAGTCTGAATCGACTTGATGGCAATGATTTTTTTTGGAATCAGAAGTACAGGGTAAAAGTGTAAGTTTCCAAAAGGGAGGAGGCACCAGTGAAATGCTAGTAGAGCTCAAGGAGAAAGTGGCTCTTGAGCTAGGGCTTGCACCATGAATGAGATTTGGACGTGGAGGCCTTGTAAGAATGGTAAAGGGCCTTCCAGGAAAGACATGGACAAAAGCAGAGAGTAGAAGATGGCTTGGCCAAAAAGAGACCTGAATGGGTCTTTGTTTTCTAAACTGAGAAGAGCAGAGGCTAGCCATTTTTGCTTTTGAGACAAGATGGACTGAACTTTGCCTGACTTTCCTCGTATGGCCCTTCTTTGTGGCTTCACCACGTCCCCAGTCCCGTGCTTGGCATCTTCGATCTGATGAAACCCCTTTGTCCAATCTCAGCATAAACACCTGGTCACTACAGCAACACAGTGTAGCTCCCCTGACTTCACCTTGGGACTGTCGCCTCTGTGAATCCTGCCGAAGTCAGGCCACCAAATAGTGCAGCCTTGGTCTTGGTTTTAAAGTCTTCAAGCTCACTTGCTCTTGAAGTACAGCATGTAGCATATGTGAGTGCACCAAAGTTTAGAGAAAAATAACAGGCTTTTAGAAAGACTTGGATGGTGGGAATATAAAATGGTACAGCTACTCTGGAAAACAGTTTGGCAGTTTCTTAAAGTAAAAATACAACTACCATATGATCCAGTAATTGCACTGTTGGGTGTTTATACCAGAAAAGTGAAAACCTAAGTTCACACAAAAACGTGTAAAGAATGTTCATAGCAGCTTTATTCGTAATAGCCAAAAAGGGAAAACAACTGAAGTGCCGTATAACAGGTGAATGATTGAATGAAGTGTTGTGCATCCATACAGTGGAATACTAACCAAAATCCAAACCCGTTGCCATCGAGTCAATTCCGACTCATAGCAACCCTACAGGACAGAGTAGAATTGCCCCATAGGATTTCCAAGGAGCAGCTGGTGGATTTGAACTGCTGACTTTTTGGTTAGCAGACAAGCTCTTAATGACTGTGCCATCAGGGCTCCCAGTGGAATACTACTCAACGATTAAGAGTCAGGAAGGATTGATACATGAAGCAGCGTGGATGAATCTCAGGGGAGTTACATGAAGTCAAAAAATCCAGTCCCAAAAGGTTACATACTGTTTGATTCCATTCCTGAAATGATAAAATTATAGAAATAGAGAACAATTTGTGCTTGCCAGGGGTTAAGAAGACAGGAGGGAGGGAGGTGGGTGTGGCTGTAAAAGGAGAACCTGAGGTATCCGTGTGGCGGTGGAATGCTCTATCTTGCCTGTATCACTGTCAGTATCCTGTCTGTGATACTGTGCCAGAGTTTTGCGAGGTTTTACTGTTGGGGAAAGCTGGGTAAAGGTCTAAAGGATCTCTGTATTACTTTTTTTAATTGTGATAATAATATACACAGTGAAACCTGTGAGACCCGGAACTCAATGGGACTGCCTTGTTTTTCAAGGTCTCGAAGGTTTTCCAACTTTGACAGAGTGCAGTCTTACCACTTTTCTATCACTCATTCTAGTGGAAAATATTTGAGTTTTCCTTTTCTGACAGGAAGCCTGGTGGCGCAGTGGTTAAGAGCTCATCTGCTAAACAAAAGATTGGCAGTTCGAATCCACCAGCCGCTTCTGGGAAACCCTATGGGGCAGTTCTACTCTGTCCTGTAGGGTCACTATGAGTTGGAATTGACTGGATGGCAACAGGTTTGGTTTGGTTTGTCTGACAGGTTTCCGCCTTACACAGGTTGCGGCTTTTGCAGGTTTTATTATATAACACATTTGCCAATTTAACATCTTTTACACGTATAGTTCAGTGGTTGTATTACTGCTTACAACTGCATTTGAGTCTGCAATTATCTCACCTTGAAAAGTTTAATAAAAAAAGAAAAAGACCAGCAGATTTCTTCCTTTTGAAGCTACCACCGTTGTTCCCACTCAATAATACAGTACCGTGGTCCACCTCCCAGATGTTTGTGGGCCGAAATTGGAATCTTTGTGTTGGTGGCCTGTGAATCTCATCTTATATTGCATCCTTTGAGCATTTTTCTGCCACAAGCAAATTATGGGGTTTGCACAGTTTATCTTCCGATCCCTACCTTTTCGGCAGCTCTGTTCTCTTTTCCTTTATGCACCTCTTCGTGGCTCTCTGCTTCCATCCCCGAGATGTGCATTTACGCTCTTACCCTTGGTACCCTCTTGCTAGGACCCTTCAGTACCACCTGGCCTCCCCAGAAGTGCCCACAGGTTATGTACGCATGCCTCATCTCTCCTCCTAGAACACTTCATGGGCAAACATTGGACTTCCACCCTGTGGGCAGTTTGATGCAGGGGAGGTGTGAGACACAGCCACCCTTCTCCTCTAATGGTGCTCAGTGCACAAGAGGCCGTATGATGGAACACATTTGGGAAACATGAGGTTAGGCAAAGGGAAATGAGTTTCTTTTGTGCAGGGCGTCACAGAGCCTTTGATGAATTGCTGTGTACTGGGGCTCTGTTTAAGAGAGTGTTTGGAATGCTTGCCATACTTATTTAACCACCAGTTTAAAAAAGATTGATATTGTTGGAAGCTAGTCCATTTGTAAGGCCCCTGGGCGGCGCAAACAGGTAAGTGCTCAGCTGCTAACCAAAAGGCTGGTGGTTCAAACCCACCTGGAGGTGCCTCGGAAGAAAGACCTGCAGATCTGCTTCTGAAAGGATGCATACAGCCATAAAAGCCCTGTGAAGGAGTTCTGCTCCACACACGTGGTGTCACCATGAGTTGGAATTGACAACAACTGGTTTTGTTTTGTTTCGTTTTAGTTCACTGTAAGTGTGAGTGGAACCCTGGTGGCACAGTGGTTAAGAGCTACAGTGAGCTACGGCTGCTAACCAAAAGGTCGGCAGTTTGAATCCACCAGCTGCTCCTTGGAAGCCCTGTGGGGCAGTTCTGCTCTGTCCTGTAGGGTCACTATGAGTCAGAATCGACTCGACAGCAACAGGTTAAGTGTGAGTGTAAATGTAGGAAAGGGGGTCAGAGCAGGATTGAGGAAAGGTGAGAAGTTGCCTTGGAGAAAATGTTGTTTAAATGAACCTCGAAGGAAGCAGATAAAGAGGTGGGAGGATGGGGGGCATGGCGTTGCCCAGATGAGGAGGCACCTGAGCTCGGTTAGAAGTTGCGAGGGGCTGTGTTCAGGAAGTGAGGGAATAGTAGCAGTTAAGGTGAGAAGGTCCTTGCCTTCTGCCTACCAGTGTGAAGTTACCTAATAAAATACTGAATGATGGGTGATATTTGGAGACAAAGGAGTCTTTATGAATCTCCTAAGTCACGCCTTATCAAACCATCAGATTTTGCATTTGTGCAAAGTTGACCCTGCTGACAGCTCCAAGTCTCCAATGAACTATTGTCCTGAGGATTCATTTGTGTTTTTCTTACTGTTTTTGTTTTCCTTTTGGTTTCAAAGCAGATGCAGTAAGAGTGGCTCACTGAAGAGGCATGGATAGTCAGATGCCTTTAATACTAAAAAATCCCTTAGACTGGCCACAAAAATGGGCACGCGCAGGTGTGTTTTCCTGAAACTCACAGCTTCTCGTCGTATGTTTGCTTTCCGTAGGGCTGGCAAAACGAGTCGGGGCGCGTCTTCTCCTGGCCTCCACCTCCGAGGTGTACGGAGGTGAGTGAGGGGCTCCCACCTGGGGTGGTCGCTCCGGCTGCGTTTGACTGTTTTCACCCTGCCTCAGGTAATAAGGAGTAAAAGATGATTCCAGAACTCCTTTCTCAGTTAGCCGAGCCTGTACTTCCTGGTCCCGTGGACGGCAGCCTGTACTTCTTAGTCCCGTGAACAGCAGCAAAGAAGCCTTTTTTCTAACCATCTCCTCCTTTGAGTGGATGAACTTTTTTTTTTAACTGCTGAAGCACACCCTAGGAATGTTGTGTCATGTAACCTTGCAAATTAAGGACCCACCATCCATGAATCCACAAAAGTGGATTTACCATTCTGCTGTGAAAGTACCCCAGAAATGATTTCCTTTTTAAAAGCTGTTTAGCTGGCGTATGTTATTCTTCAGTGGAAACAGTGCATGTTGCACGTCTGACCTACCAAGAACTTGCAGTTGGTGAAGACATGTGCATTGGTAGCCTGAAGTGGTTTGTAATGATTTCTGGAAGAATCGTAAATGGGGTGTGCCAGAAAAGTGAACCAGTTTTCCCAACCCGGAGCACTCTCAGATCCCCTCCTCAGACTGACCAGTGATACAGTTTTGCACTTAGAGGGAGCGAGTATTAGGAGAGGTGACAAGAGCTGCCCTTTGAATTCATGTGAATTTCCCTGCAAACCTAAAACCAGTATGAGAGCAGTGTTTCGCAGAGCTGCTTGGTTGATGCAGCGGAAGCCAGGGTGACGTGATGTAATTCTTCTACTTCATATTATCATTGTGGACAGAAGAAATAAGGAAGTAAATGGGTAAAGTCTGAGGAGATCCTTTGTTTTTTTAAGTGAGGGAACCAAATGAAAGAAATACTCTGCTAAATGCAGTTATATCTTGGTAATTCCCATGAAAAGGTAGAGCATCCTCCACTTCTCCTTTGTAGTCTCTGGAAGTTAAGAGGAAAGGGTCTGCCTTACCCCATGTTTACTCAGTTGTTTTCGGAACAGGCAGTTGAGTGGACTCTTGCATTTCACCCTCCCTGTTCATCCTGTATCATGGTTTGTTCAACAAAGGATTCTCAGATTTCACTTTCTGTGACATCGGCTGGTTCCCTTCTGGTTTCTCTGACTGGCTTAATATATCACAAAAGGGAGAGTGTTGATATAATGCAAAGGGCTGAGTCTTAAAATATCTAAAATATGAAGGTACTCATGTTACATGTCCCAAAGGACACAGTGATATCTCTTCCACATACCCTTTTTCGCCCATCCACCTGATTTATTATCTGCCTGTTATCTGCCTAGCTTGTTTTCTTTAGGGTTGTTAAATCAGTATGGTGTAATCCCCCTTGCTTTAGTCTGATGTTTGATAAGTGAGCTAAACAAGTTTTGTGGAGTGCTTGTTTCGTGTGTTAGCCTCGCAAAATGCTGAAAACAGGAGACTGATTGGAAATCAGTTTTGACTCTAAATCGTTGCTTTTATAAAATAACAGTGATTCTGTGAGGGAACTTTCTCATGAACATTGGTATCCTGGACATTTCAGTTGAGACAGGACCGGTCAGGGGGCACATTGGGTGTACCCACTTCCTCTTCCTCATCCTTTGCCTCATCTGTGACCACCTTTGCTCTCAGGGGTCAAGCTTGCCCAGCCCTTGTCAGAAATCCCCAGGAAAAGGTCTGATACCAATCATCTTACATCTGAGTGAATTTAAGTCATTTGTCTTCTTCCCTCAGGGAGTATTTGCCTTAAGCATTTTCTCCCATTGTGCAGTGAAAAAATGTGTTCCTGCTTAAGAATTCTAAACCACAGCAGCACATAGAGAGTCTCATTCTCTGCCATGCTTCTAAAATTCCGCCGAGGCTCACTCCAAACACACGTGGCAGGACTATGTGTGTATTCATTCCACGTTCCTGTCCCACGTCTCCATTTCACACATGAGCCGAAAGTCAAACTTCAGGTACAAGAGCACGAATTGATAGATTTGTGTCTTGTTTTTCTAGATTTCTTGGCAAAGATGTATACATTTTACAGCATGGTGATATTCAGAATGTATATAAAATTCCTGGTGCACCAGATAAGTTAGGTATTAATTCACATTCCAAAAATATACCTGTGTTAAAAAAAAGAATTTGTTACAAGGTTTCTTTAGTCTGTTCCTGTGGTACATTTTAAAGCTCTGAGGTTTGATTTTACACACCAGAAAAACAGGAATTAGGAAATATAAAGTAAGCAGTAAAGCAACAAGCTTCCAGTTGCCCTTGGACGACTCTGTCCCTCTGCCCACACTAGACCCGGCCTTCTGTGGTTCTCACATTTATTTTGGTGATGGCATATTTGAAAGTCATGGTGTTTGATTTTCTTTTTTTAGTTTTCCGTTAATTGAAAATACATGTTTTACTATGTTTATGTATTTTATAAATACAAACTTTATAAACCATATAGCTCTTCACGTAGAATATATGTGATTATAGTTGGCATAAACAGTCTGAAAGTTAAGCAGAATTTATGGGAGAGAGTGAAGACTTCAGATTGAAAGCCTTTGATCTTTCAATGAATTTTTTTCCCTGTGAAATAGACAACTACTGTTCTTACTTAATATCAGTGTTAAAAACACCATGTCCCACTGGTACTTAGAGACTTAGGTTTCTCTTGAGGTTACCTCTTTAATGTACATGTCTCCATTTGTAAATGCTTACCTTGGTCTTTTCAGAGCTCCCTTTTGCATCATAAATCTGCATTGTTCATCAGCTTGTAAGAAAGAAAGATGAAAACAAAGTCCCATTTTTCCCCTATCCATAGATCCTGAAGTCCACCCTCAAAGTGAGGATTACTGGGGCCACGTGAATCCAATAGGACCCAGAGCCTGTTACGATGAAGGCAAGCGTGTTGCAGAGACCATGTGCTATGCCTATATGAAGCAGGTACTTAAACAGCTTCTGGGGGGCTTGTGGTTTATACACGCAGAGCACGTGTTCCTGGGCTGGATGGCGTTGATGTTTTTTTAGTAGCATCAAATATGAATCAACTATAAAGGAATTAGATGCTGTGGTTAATTTTGCCAGGAGGGGGGTGTTAGGGAAGCCCAGTTTTCACTGTTATGAATTAATGGTGTTATCAACAGTTTTTTCCATATGTCTCTTTTCTTTGTCAAGTTGACTTCCTAGGGATAATTCTTTAGGTTTCGAGTACTGTTTTAAGGTTGTGAACTGTATGCTTCTTTAATGCCAAATTGCCCACCTCCAGTTAACAAGTTCGTCTGTTTTCTTACATCAGTGGGTTTTTTTTTTTAGCTTTCCTTCTGTTAATCTTCTGATAGGTATAAAATGAATTCACTGTTGCGTTAATTTGTGTCTCCTTAGGCACTGCGTTACTGCTATGTATTTGCAGTTACTTCCTGCTTTGTGAATCATGGTTGCCTGCCCCATGGGTAGTATCGTGTTTCAGGTTTGCTCACTCACATGCTGTTGTAGAAAGAGCCTGCAGACCTAGGAGGCCGAGGATCTGGGTTCTAATACTGCCTCTGCCGCCTTGTGAGCTCACAGAAGTGACCTCACTGTTGGTCGCTCAGTCCTCGTCTCTCACGAGGAGCTCTAACGTGGAGTTCATACCTCCGAGGGCTGGGAAGGAGCAGGTGAGATGGTGCAGTCAAGTGATGGATCAGCCTTCCTTCATCCATCTTCTCAGTGACTTCACCTTCATTGTGTTTGGGTCAGTACATTTATATCCTCACTTTACGGAAGTAAGCCACGTGTCCCCTTCACTAAAGTGAGAAACATGTAGGTTAATGAGCGTGGACACGGAATGTTGTTGTGGGATGGCCTGTTGGCAGATGCTGGGGGCTGGCACGTGCTCTTGCGGAAGTGAAGATGAGTGGGTGTCTGTCCCCCTGAGCAGTGTTTCTCAGCCCTGGGTCCAGACTGCAAGTGAGCTCAGAAGAGGTAGATAGCTGTTGACTTTGTGAATGGCGAGGGCAGCTGCTTGGTGTCCAGCTCTGAGTTGTTTATGGCTGTCTTCCGTTGCGTGTCCACCTCAGAACCTGAAGGAGCCAGCAGTGTTCAGCCCACGCAGAAGGCCGAGCAGTCCTGTTCCTGGCATTTCCCATTCAGACTGTTATGCCTTTCATTTCCATAGTACAGAAGGTAATAAGGCAGCATTGGATCAAGCACATGTGGCCTCTTTTTTTTTTTCCTTTTCTGAAGAAGGTTGTCAAGGGGCTTGCTTTCTTGTCATATTTTTAATGAAACACCAACATTAAAGCCGGTCTTTGAACTGGTTCGTTCTGGTTCGAACCCATGCTGAGAATTTGCGTTTCTAACAAGTTCCCTGCTGAGAATTTGCATTTTCACCCCAGATATACTGAATCGGTCTATGGTTTAACGAGATCCCCAGGTGATTCCTATGTATAACTTCCTGGGACCTTGTTAGAAATGCAGATTCTCAGCAGGGGTTGGAACCTGAATGAACCAGCTCGAAGCCCTGCATTAAAGATCTATAAAATAACCCTGTGGTGATGTAAGTATTTCAGGCCTTCTCCTTTATTTCCTGGCCAGAAGCAAAACTAATACTAGGCTACGTTGGAAATTGGGCTTCATTCTTATGTACTTCTTAGTGTCAGCTTTACCTTGGTCAAGTTGGGCTGGCTTCACCCTTTGGTATTGCCTTACCATAACCAAAACTAACAAGTGTCTACTGTCTAGAAAATGATTCCCCCTCTCTCTGCCTCTCAGCCCCGGTAACCATCAAAGAATGTTGCTTTCTGTATGTATACCTGTTCTTCTGTTTTTATAATAGTGAGATCATGCAGTACTTTTTGTTTTATTTATTTATTTTTACTGTACTTTAGATGAAAAGTTCACAGCTCAAGTTAATTTCTCATTCAAAAATCTATACACATATTGTTTTTTGACATTGGTTGCAGTCCCCACAATGTGACAGCACACTCCGCCTTTCCACCTCGGGTTCCCTGTGTCCATTCGTCCAGTTCCTGACCCTTCCTGCCTTCTCGTCTTGCTTTTGGACAGGAGCTGCCCATTTGGTCTTGTATATTTGATTGAACTAAGAAGCATGTTCCTCACGTGTGTTACTGTTTGTTTTATAGGCCTTTGAGTCTTTGTCTGAAAAGTGGACTTCAGGAATGTTTTTAGTTCTAGGTTAGCAGAGTGTCTGGGGGCCATAGTTTTGGGACTTCCTGCAGTCTCTGTCAGACCAGTAAGTCTGGTCTTTTTATGTGAATTTAAATTCTGTTCTACATTTTTCTTCTGCTCTGTCTGGGACTCTCTGTTATGATCCCTGTCAGAGCAGTCATTGGTGGTAGCCGGGCACCATCTATCTAGTTCTTCTGGCCTTAGGCTAATGGAGTCTCTGGTTCATGTGGTCCTTTAGTCCTTTGGGCTAATATTTTCCTTATATCTTTGGTTTTCTTCATTCTTCTTTGCTCCCGATGGGATGGGATCAATAGATATATCTTAGATGGGTGCTCGCAAGCTTTTAAGACCCCAGACGCTACTCACCAAAGTGGGATGTAGAACATTTTCTTTATGAACTATGTTATACCAGTTGACCTAGCTATCCCCCGAGACTATGGTCCCCAGCCCCAGCCCCAGCTACTTGGTCCCTCAGAGTGTTTGGATGTGTCTAGGAAGCTTCCATGGTTTTGCTTTGGTCCAGTTGTGCTGACTTCCCCAATATTGTGAGTTGTCCTTCCCTCCACTGAAGCTGACACTTGTCTGCTATCTAGTTAGTGATTTCCTCTCCCCCCCTCCCCACCCTCATAACCATTGAAGAATACTTTCTTCTATGTGTAAACCTTTTCTTGAATTCTTATAACAGTGGTCTCATACACTATTTGTCCTTTTGTTACTAACTTATTTCACTCAGCACAGTGTCCTCCAGATTCATCCATGATATACTATATTTTGAGAACTCATCATTATTCTTTATTGCTGTGTAGTATTCCATTGTGTGTATGTACCATGGTTTGTTTATCCATTCATCTGTTGACAGGCAGCTAGGTTGTTTCCATCTTTTTTCTGTTGTGAATAATGCTGCAGTGAACATAGGTGTGCATGTATCTGTTCATGTTGGTAGTTTTAGTTCTCTAGGGTACGTACCTGGGCCAAGTCCATTATTGCCTTGCCAAAGTGCTCAGCTGCTATCTGAAAGGTCGGCAGTTCAAACCCACCAGCCACCTATGGGAGAAAGATGTGGCAGTCTGCTTCTGTAAAGATTACAGCCTTGGGAACCCTATGGGGCAGTTCTACTCTGTCTTACAGGGTCTCAGTCTCGCTGTGAGTAGGAATTGACTAGATGGCATTGGGTTTGTTTATTGTTTTAAGTTCTAAGAGTCTTCTGGAAAGGGTACAGGATGAGCTTCCCACCTTCTGTGCCTTCTTTATGTTATACAAGTATTGTGCTCTCTTCCATGGAGAGCCATGGGGTCCTAGACTCTGGCCCCAGCTGGGCCCTAAAACTTGAACCTGCTCACTTGCTCTCTCTTTTGTCTGGATCAGTGCCAAGGAGGGGGTAGAATGTGGGTGCCTGTCCTCTGCCCAGGGTTACAGATCCCAGGTGTTGACAGAGGTTTTAGTTTCTGCTATGGCAAGATGCTTTGCCAGGTTGTAGGGAGACAAAAAAAAAATGAATAAGCAGAGGAAGAAAAACTGTTACTCCTGATCCCATCCAGAGATAATGATAAGGGGAAAAATTAAAATGAAATAAAATAGAAACCACCATGTTAAGATAGTGAAGGATGAAAACATTTAAGACACGAAGGTGATTCTTTCATTCAGCATTTTATATTAGCTGCCAGCAAGGATGGGTCAGGGCACCTACTGACCACATCGGGTTGGCCCTCTGGGTAGCGCCTGGCCTGGGGCATACCATTGGCCCTCTTTAGGCCTTGGACTACAAATCGATGGACACAGAAGAAACAGGATGGAAATAACGAGAATACTGACACACTGTGAAAAGTGTAACCAATGTCACAGAACAGTTGGTATAAAAATGATTAAATAGGAACCTGATTTGCTGTGTAAAACTTTCTCCTAAAACACAATTAAAATATTTTTTAAAGAAAACAAACTTCGCTGGCATGCCACGATAAATATTTGTGTTCATGAGTATTTTAAAAAAAAGAAAGAGTGTTGGCCCAATTGTTAATATTAAAGCAAGATTGTTTAGGAAGATTGCGAAGCAAATACATACCGGTTTCCAAAGCAATTTCACATGTTTTCTTTGAATTCCTGTAATGTAGACAAAATGGATATTATCGTCCCCATTTTAAAGATTAGGATCTTACATCTTAAAACACTTAAGTGACTTCGCTGGAAATGGAGCGGTATTGAGTGACAGAACCGAGACTAGAGTCCTCCAGGTATTCCAGCCTCCTGACCTTCTGTGACCTTTTCTCTCTGCCATCACCCATAATGCATTTGAACTTCTTAGCACCTTTAAGAATCTTGCTTCAGCAAAGCAAGCTCTACATTCTGTATGGTTATCTTAGTTGTCTAGTGCTGCTATAACATAAATACCACAAGTGGATGGCTTTAACAAACAAATTTATTCCCTCACAGTTTAGGTGGCTAGAAGTCCAAATTCACGGCACCAGCCGTAGGGGAAGGCTTTCTTTCTCTGTCAGCTCAAGGGGAAAGTTCTTGTCTCTTTTCAGCATCAGTGGGCCCTGCGTTCCTTGGAGATCTCCATGGGTCTTGGCATAAGTCTTCCCCAGGATCTAGGAAGTTCTCAGAGCAGGGCACTGCGTCCAAAGGATGCACTCTGCTCCCGGCTCTGCTTGTTTGATGTTAATGAGGTCCCTTATCCCAGGTAGGGAGCAGACCTCATCCAGATGCGTTTATGAGAGGCCACAGAAGAATTAAGTGGTTCAGCCTTGAGGTCCTCCTGAGCCTATTGCTTTAGCCTTTCC